TTATTAACAATCGTCGGCCAATTACTAATCAATGTGCTTACATAGGTATGAGATGTGGTTTTTCAAAGTTTTGCACCTATAATTGAATACGAAACTGCTGAGATTGGATGCTTTACAATTCCCCCACGCCCCGCAAAAATTACAGCATACCAAGTAACTGACCCCACATTGTTCAATCAGGCCCCAGTTGTTCAACACATGAACCACGCTATCCACCGGACAAATCTCTTTCCAGTGGACAACACAATCAGTTTCCCTAATACCTATCCATTTGATAGTGATTTATCAGGTGCGTGGAACAACTGGGGCCTGATTGTCGAATAAGTACTCTGTGGGTATCTGGCTATCAGAAACTTTGGTAAAACCTTTTGTGTGGTAGGGTTGCTACTTCGTTGAATTTTTTCTAGCCTCTGCTCCTCGACTATATAAAATGTAAGTGTGAAGGCCGAGGTAGCCTTTGCCACTGACAAAACTAAACCTCTGGTTAAGCCCGTCTACGAGCCAGCAATGAAACCCCTGTTCTGGGCCCCATATGAGTAAGCACCATGGATAGCCATCCATGTTGAAGTAAAACTCGAAACACTTTCTGGAAATTCGTTGAGTCCTTTGCGGGCCCAAAATAATGATCTTGGCCCTGCGCCGCAGACGTTACTCAACGTGGTTATTAGCAGACTAGTACTAAAGTCGACAACAACGTTATGCGATAATTAACAATTATTTTTAAAAACTTAGTTACATCGGTATAAATGAAACATACGTAAAGATTTCGTCGGCATGGTCGTCTGAAATTAAAATAACAAAAGAATTAGTGATAATATGAAAACCAACTTTTACACGTTGAATGCATCTAGTAAATTCAATATTGGATATCGTTATATGTGATAGTTACTCACTTTTGGTGTCTCTTTGATGTCTCTTACCAACGTGTCGCTGAATGAGAAGGGCACATACCAAACCTACTATGGCCACACAGGCGGATAAAGATGCGTATTTGATAAGAGAACTGTGGGTGACATCTAATTTAAAAAAATAAAGGATATACGGGAAATTACCTAGCCATTTGTACTTATCTACCTGGATTATATTTGCTGAAGCTAGATAATTGATAATCTGTTTTACATTGTATTTACCAGGTTCTGAGAACAAATTAGATTAGAAAAGGACGCGCTACTAAACTCCCTGAACCAGGGGAAAGCTAGTAAACTGAAGGAATCAGATGTACTAAGGGACACCTATTTCATAAAGTCAGTTTCTACATGGCTGATGTAGTATTTGTAAACAAACAGTTTTCATTCCACACACTATACCCGATTGTTGGTCTCTGACAAACATACATGTATAAACCTATCTTTTTCTCAGTCCTCCAAACGAGGAATTCTAGGCAAAAAGATGGTAATCACCAAAATTCTCTTACTGCATTACATTACTTAAGTGTTGTTTTCCCCGGTGGAGGTGGGTGGGGGCAACAATGTTATATACGAGTAAGCTTCGCCGCCCCAGATCTGACCCCTTACCCATTTGTCTTTCGACTGAAAAGGTAACACATTTCGTAGAACTTTCATTGAAAAAAGTTACCTCTTTCACTTACCAACAAAAGAAATTTGCATCCCCTTTTAACGGCTGATACGAATAACTCAATAGAATAGAAAAAAGTCTTGTCATTTTTACAACCATAAGATAAACTATGTTCGAATTACTGTAATTCAAATGCGTTTCTAAATTTCGAATAACAGCTTTACCTCCCACTATTCCTACACTTTAACTCGTGAAATCTCTACCCTTTCATAATTACCTGCGAAGTCTAAAACAAGTGCCCCTTTTGTGCAGAGTATTCCAGGACGATATAAGAAGTCTCCCTCTCCCCCTGGAGCTTTGCATCCCTTTATTTTAAGAACTATTTAAATTTATGAAACAAAAATGCATTTGTTATTAGTTATCTGTAAGCACCTGGACGCTTTTTACTTTCCAAAGCTTCTGGACCTATTGATTAAAAGAAAAAAGTTATACTAAATCGATGTTTTTTTTTCATTTTTTCGTTTATTTATCATGTTTTACCAGAAATACGCCTTTTGATATTTAAGCGGCCTGCGTAGCTATAAATTGAGACTTGTCAACCGAAGATTAAAGAATCTTTGTCATTGTGCAGTCGAGGTTATTGGAAGTAACCCCGCATTTGTCCCATTTCATCAGTTCTTTTCCTTTTAATTTGAGTTTTTCTGTTTCGAATAATAATGAAATAATTTGATATTACTGTCAGCGATGATTTGAGCTCGGTCGCAACAGCGCTACATTGGACAGCAAGAGAGATCGTTTTTGACTATACTTACCTTTCTTATGCAGTTGGAATGTAAGAGCGTCCCATCCAATTTCATTCTTAGCTGTGCATACATAGCGTGTGGAATCCTTGTCAATCACAGGACTTACAGTCAAAGTGCTTGCATTCCAACTACTGTTAAAGCCCTCCCGTATAATTTCACTGTCTTTGTGCCATGAAAATGTCGGTGAAGGATTTCCTTCTGCTTCACACAGCAGGGTTATCGGACTTCGTTTCAGCTTCCTCAAAGAATGAATTTTTGGTTTATCTGCAATGAAATGAGACGTTTTATTTCATATCTAGACGTTGTAAACACTTTACCAAATCTATAAAAGGATCAGTTAGCTTACAGCAAGAAACAATGCTACATCTAATGTTGGTTTTGATTTATGATCGAAAAATGTGAAACAGTACGTAGTATTAAATAATCGCATTTTAGTTTGGTAAAAAAAAATGAAAATGGATTAAATTGAAAAAAAAAATTAAAAAATAAGGCTATAGGGCTAGAAATTGCCTTTTTGTAACGGTTTAATTTCCGACCGTAGAAAAAGCTTGGCAAAAAAAGCAATACAGTGTAGTTAGCTATTAGTTCATGCTTTATCTGTGTATATATCGAGTTACACATGGGTGCATGCACCTACATGGGAAGCCTGAGCCGAGCACACCTCTAGCATTTCTTCGATTCTCTTACTTATTCTCTTCAAACTTAAGGCGTAAATCTTAAAACTCGATATATGCACGCTCCTGAAGAATGAACCAGCTTTTAAATATTAGTCTTACTGTTTGTTTCAGTACTCACAGAGCACATTAATAGTTGTGACGGGCGACGTAGTATTTCCAGCCTGGTTTATAGATACACAAGAGTAGTTCCCTCCCTGTAATCTGCTCACATTTGTAATAGATAAAAACTTGCTTTGTTCTGCATAAACGGGAACTTTGTCCTTAAACCACATCACAGATGATCTCGCTTCCACGGTGGTACGACAAGTGATGTTCACGTGATCCCCTTCATCGACATCCAGAGTTATGTGTCGAGTATCTGTAGGTTAAAGATCAATCGGAAAATCACTGTGTGTTCTGCCCACAGGCAGGTCCTTCCTCATAGTTCTCGATCTAAGGCGCGCCTCTAACTTTCATTTATTATCACTATTATGGGATGGCGCTTATAGACTAAATTGCAGCTGGGCCAAATTATATAAGGCCGCTTGAGAGAAGTTGTACATCCATAAGAACATTTTAGAGTACTGACTGTGTTGTGATGACCTGTTATCGACAGAGTAATTTAAACACAATTACTGACAGGACATATTACAACGGAAAACAACGCAAGTAAATGTAGTCCGTAATGTCAATTCTAGATTAGGTGTTATAAAAACTTACCAATATACGGCGTGGGTGCTGGATCCTAGGACGAAAAGAGGAACAGTAGTTAGGTCTAGTGTCTTTCAAATATGAGCTATAAAATGACTAACGATTTGATCTATCCATCACAGTTTCGCCAGTACGTCAAAGGTCTCAGTCCATGACGATGTGTCTAATTCGTTACAAAATATTCAGCACTTTAACGAAAAACCATAATCTTGTTTTGTCCTTTGCTGACTGATGGACAAGTTAAAAGCAAAAATTTCTTTGTTACTTGACCATAGGCGTACGGGAAATTTTTTGCCAGGGGGGGCGGTAAACCATTTGCCCAAAAAAACCTCGCAGGTTGCCCAAATTTTTACGAAAGAGTCGGAAAGAGAGGAGGGTCGTATTACAACAACATAGGCCGAACTGGCATATGAAGATGGCTTGATACAGTTAGTTTTCAGGGTCAATAACAAGTTTGAGTATAAAATATGTCGCCATAAACAAGCATTTGGAAAAATTGCCACCACAGTTGTATTAAGATGAAAATTTGTCGTGATCAGGGTTGCAATGACATCGGAGTTGTCATAGCAGCGAAATGACGCCATTACATATTTTACTTCAGCAATAATTCTCGGCATTGGGAAACCTTACAAAATCGTTCACAGGAGCTTTTTTCTCCAATACGGTCGCCTCTATGTTCGTGAAGTTTAAGCAAAATCTGTAAGTCAGAGCGTTATCGAGGTATTTTGGGGTGAAGTTTTTATCGTAAGAAATACTGTAAGAAAAGGAAAATCTTGATGTTTGGCCGTTATCTGTAGAAAACGAAGAGCTTTTGACATGAAATTTAACATCATAGTAGTTTTAATCTATTTAAAAACTTGTGTGAAAGACCGTGGAGACAGCTCTGCACCGATTGCTAGAAAGAGGGATTTGATTAGTACGTATATCAAGGCGCTTTTGTTAGCGGTTTTGTAAACATTTCGGTCTACTTTACCAAATTAGCGAATAATTTTAAACCTAACGATAGATTCTTTAAAAGAATTCAGGCCTGGTTCAGACGCCGTACTTTTCATGTGCCGAACCTAACTGAATAAGTTCGACTTTGGAGCGACACTGGCGCGACATCTGATTCAGACGGCGTACCGTCTGTCGAACCTAAGTTAAGTTCGACAAACGTTCGACAGACTCTGTCGAACTTAACGCTTTTGCCGCACCAAACTAAAACTGCCATACCAAATTGATTCAGACGCCGCTCTTGTGCCGTACTTAATTCATCAGTTAGGTTCGGCACATGAGTGGAGCGGCCTCTGAACCGGGCCTTCAGATTCTTCTCGTAATTCAAACTGAAAATTAGTCAGGGCACTTCTTCATTTTCAGACCAACTAATGCAATCTGCCATACACTGTTCTTCGAGTGGAGATGACTCTAGAAAGTTATTTCTCAAACTCATTAATAATTCATAAAGAAAATTCAGAGGAAATTAATGGAGAGTGTTTGATATCTGATGAAAAACATGCTCATATTTGCATTTATTCCTTCAAAAATGATTTTGTTTCAATTCACAACAGATGAAACACCTCGAAGTTCGTCAAAAATACTCCGCTGCGCGTCGTATTTTCAACTCTCTTCTCGGTGTTTCATCTGGTGATGAAACACTGCATCTCATGTTTGATATATTACGTGAAAGTTTATTATAATCAATTCACAACTGGAAATAACCCATTCCAGCTAGTGCAGTGCAGTACAGTTCCCAACAATAAAAAACTACAAGTATATAAATTACTTATCACATGCTAGGTAACCATTGTCTCGTGTGAATGTAACTGGATTATTACGCCGACTTCGATCAGGTTAATATTCAGGTCTTCAAAATAATCAAATAACCATGGAGACGTCTTTAAAAACTGGCTTTGCCCAAATTTTCTCTTGCTGCCCAAAAAAACTGAGTTGCCCAAAATTTGGGGGGGCTGCAGCCCCCCCCCCCCGGCCCGTACGCCTATGTGCTTGACAATATAAGGATAGCTTACGAAGGTGTACTTCAACCTCGCTCTTTAATCGTAAATAAGTCCAGCTTAGTCATCCATGTACCTCGCGTCATTCAACAGTTTCATATAGGATCGAAAGTTAACAAATAATGAATACAAATCTTTACACGGGTTGATATTTGTGTATTTGGTACTTATGGCGACATATATGTCACGACATCACGTCATGTATAAAGACAAACTCGCCATCTTTGATGACCCATATGGTCAAGGATAACCGGGAGATCATCGGTGCAAAATCGGAAACCCTATAAATGATGTCCAGTTTCAATAGCAAAATTCCACAAAAAAGCAATCGCAAAATTGATTATAGGACGGCAGACAAGGTGGGGGAATCTTTCCATTGTCTGTCTGAAAAAACTTACTTGAACAATAAGAGAGAACCAGTTCTGTAAGATGGTGGGAGGGAAATGGTCAACACGGAGCCTCATTCCATAATCTCCAGCATCTTTGCGCTGAATATTGACAAGTTCAAAAGCGATATAGTAGTCACGAGACAAGTCTCCGTTCCAATGCAAACGCCTCGCAGTCGATTGATTTGCTCTAGCCACAGTTTCATTTTCTCCAGATGGTTCTTGTTTAACAGTCATGAAAAATGACTTCACTATTTTGTATCTCCGATCCCAAGGACCAAACTGAACTTGTAACTGCTTTGACTTATCTTTCTCTCCGAGGGACAGCTTCCAGGTGAATGTTTGGTTTGATCCTGTCGCTGCTATCGTTGTGTTGTTTGGCTCAGAATCAAAAGCTAATCCGTGGGCTTTGACAAACGCTGAAACTGAATACGAAACTGTTCATTTTATAGAAGGCATTGTATCACGTTAGGTAAATGCAAGTGTAATATAAATCATCCTGTCACGAAGTAAGTGGACGTTTTTCAATACTTAAACTTTCATGCCTCATGACAATAGGTATTTTTTTCAAATTAATTTTCCCAGCTATGTAAGGTGTTTTTCAGCACTAATAGCTACCGGTCTTAGCTAGGAACCCGTCTAAAAAACCTGAATCTTTTGAAAATTCGCTATTAGTTCATTTCAATACACAGTAATTAAACTTATACTCCTGCAGCATGACCCTGAAACGTTTAGCTGAAACTTGCACCCTGTATCTATAGTAAGAATGTTTCTTCATCTGGAACGTTTTCAAATCAGGATCCGCTGCGCAGACTCTTCCGCGAAAGTAGACTGGCCTTCTTCTCCTGTAGCCCTCGCAGGGTCGCACTCATGATAAAGCACGAGCTATCTTGTATAATACACTTTGCGAAACTGGTTTCTCTTTGCTACGTAAAACCATTCACGACAGAGGAATTGTTTTCCACAAAGCTAGACTGCAAGTCTTTACGTTAAAAATTTCGGTGTGTAATATTATCTTCAGTTAAATGCCATGCATGTAATCTTTGGTTACGTAAAATGCAATCCGATTGGCTTTAATTTTCGAAAACATAGAATATTGCTTCGACTGAATTGGAATCAAGATAGTCTAGGATTGTGAAAGGATGTAATTAGCAGCCAACCTGGGAGAAATAAGATTCCTCCACCCAATTAATTTTCCTCCTGTACTTTTCAGATTAAAGAACCATGAAGATGAAAGTTAAATAATGATAATAATTTGATATGTATCCTCCTTTAAAAAAACTAAAAGTGCATGACAAATTTTCGTAAGTGTCTTCTCTAACACGTTTCGCCCGTTATCTTTGGTGGGCTATTGGTGTCATGACCGTACGCCCAATAACAATCGCAGAGTAATTGAGAATGATACTTACATAACATAATTAGGCGAAAGGTGGTCTGTAAATTGAAGGCAATCATATTCATGACTGGTTTGCAATTCAACACTAATGACATCAAACTCCCCGGTTGAAGCTAGCTTTTTTTGTCTCGCTGTTAACACCTGTTGCGTTAAACACCTTCGAGACTGTATGATTGATTACAAGCTAACACAATAGATATAAAGGGTTCATGACATGCGGAAATTGAAACTGCTTGCATGATTTAAATGACAGTTTTTGAGTTTCAAAAGAATCACGGTTGGAAGGCGTACAGAAACACTAACCAAAAACACCGGCCCTTGTTTTTCCATTCAGACGTCATGATTGTACTCCGGCATTTATCACAGTCATGTTACTTTATATCATTGACTGCATGATAGTTGAAAAGGTTATGGAAATATTTAATTTAGAACGTCAAAAGACGAATAGAATAGGAATCAGAGAATAGGAAAGTAATAATCCAATTTAGTCCCGTTTTATTTAGTTCATACAATTTCATTCGCATGGGATTGATGTATAGATAAGCAGGATTGTGGGAAAACATGCGTTTTCAATTCAGTATCCCTTCACGGAAGTCTATAACGCACACTATTGTGTCAGGGGTTCAAACCCGCTTGTAGTTGTTATCGTGTTCCGGTTTTTTGGGTTGTGTTGTTTAAATAGATAGAAAGGAATATGGTGGTGAAAGAATGAACGGTGGTAAATTTTAAGATCGGTGAAAAAAATGTGAAAATGAATTAATCAGCATGCCACGAGGGTGGGACAAAGAAAAGCTCTGAGTCCGCGACAGATTCGAACCAATGACCTCCGAAACACCGGGCGGGCGCTCTATCCACTTGAGCTACGGAGAACTCATGGAAAGCGGGGCTATATAATAGGTTCATATTTGAAACGCGTCCTGCATACTGCAAGGATCAGCAATGTTGCTGTGGTACTGTGTGGTGAAAGAATCAAAGATGGTAAATTTTAAGCTCGGTGAAACAAATGTGAAATAGAGTTAATCAGCATACCACGAGCGTGGGACAAAGGGAAAAAAAAAGAAATTAAAAGAAAGAAATATATCATACAGGCAGTATATTTAGTTAAGAACGTCGATTGATACATTCCTTGCTTTAAGAAATAGGGATGGTTCATTTTTTCCGGCATTTTTTATTGAAAGGTTCAAAGCATAAAACGTTGTTGATATGAATTCTTTTCGTTTCTACCTTGCAGCTTATTTTATTTTTCTCCCTACTAAACTTGCCTTGTATACCATTTAATTACTTAAGAATTTCAATTAGTAATAATCAACGGAGAATTTTTACGTAAGCCCTCAAAGCTTCCACAAGAGATGTACGGGGAGACGGATGGTATCTTCTTGTTCACAGGTAGATGGGACTATAACAGGGGGTGCTTATAAGCGGAAGTTTACGGTCGTGTTTTTCTCCACATCGAGCAATTTTTTTTCCAACCATTCAATCAAATAGAACAAGCCTAATATTCAGGGGGTTTAAGCAAGCCGTTAAATGCGTGTTTTAAAAAATATAGTCGAGCCGAAAACAGTAACAATGTTATAGTTTCAGTTTTGTTCACAGTAATATTTTCACGGTTTTGTATCTTTTCCAAAGTTTTTTTCTTTTAAGCCAATTTTTCAAAACCTGCTCAAAACAATTCTAACAGGTTAATGTTGTTATTTGTCCTTAAGGGACCTTGTTAATCTTTAGAAACCGATCTGAGTCGTACTGAATGATTTCCCACGAACAAAATTCAGTAAGCAACTGAAGGAAATCACTCATTGACGTAGGAGACTTATTACAGATAACATTCGACAGGTAGTGAATTTTTTTTAGACAACTCCTGTACGGTTGTTCTTTGACATCTTTCCAACCATCGACAAACTCAAACTTTCGCAATTTTAGTTTCCAAAAACTACAGAAATCGAAAATTCTAACTTGGACGGTGTTCAAGAAAATGTCACACTTTAGGAAATATTTCCTAAGAGCATTCAAGGGGACGTTCAAAGAGCCTCATTTGCACCTAAGAAGCAGACGTAGTTACATATTGCAAAGCCCAGAAGGTTGACACCGGCACCGATTTTTAACGCTTTACCTGATCTGGCGCTAGTTGTTCATCGGGTAGATAACAATTATTCACCGAAGTGGAGGTGGCTAGCTAGCGGTGAATATTTACCGAGGCCGCGCGTTAGTATACAGGGTGTCCCAAAAGTTCATTCCTCAAATTTCATGCACTATAACTTTTGGTCAAAAATTTATTTTTACATGAAATTTCCAAAAAATGTATATTTCTCTATCGAGAACATGTATTCAGAATTTCAGTAACTGGCATACCCTTTTTGCTCTCTCTATATCTATATTTAGTATATACACACTCAGTGATCTTGGTGATTTAAGCAATCTGATTAATGGTTCGCAATCTCGGGCTATTCAACAATATTCACCTCCTAGCGAGTGGATAATGTGTGAGCTCGGTGTTTTTCCCATTTTTTAGAGAACGATCTTTTCAAAGTCGACAAAATCATAGGGCTGACCTTTTTTAAGGCAAGAAGAGACTTGGAAGGATTCAATACGGCATTTTTCAATTTACGTACTGTAGCTGAGTTTTTTGCTTGATGGATTGTTTACAACTCCCGTGTATTCGCGTAGAAGAAGCCGTTTCGTGAACTCAACTTTTTCTAACAAGAACATTTTGGCTCAAAAATCGAAGTTTATTTATGACAAAAAAATTAAAAGGAAATGTTTGCAGAAATTCTACGTTTCAAATAAACAGGAAAAAGAGTGATACAGGAAGACGACGTCTTACCTCGAGCAACCGAGTCGCCATATTTGTTAGCACTTCATGCGAAGAACAACACAACAAACCCTTTTGGCTATAAACTTGGCGAGTCAACAGAAAACAACAAAGCTCTACTTTTCTTCTCAGGTTAGGAAACAGTTCAAGCTTTAAGCGGTTCCATTTAAGCTATTACGCTGTTGTTTGCGAAATGATAAACTTGTGAATTGCCATGTTTGAAAATTCTGCAAAGATCTATTTTTAAACTTACGCAAGATTTGATCTGTCAATCAAATCGTACTTTCTAATGGTTTCCTCTCTGATTTTGTTGAGATCACTTCGTGTGTATATACTAAAACAATTATTCTTTGAAATCGAGGTGAATAGTGGCTTTGGGAATATTTACCTCGCCGCTTTCGCGGCTCGGTAAATATTTTGCCACTATTCACCTCGATTTCAAAGAATAATTGTTAAATATTTATTATATGGAAACGAGTGTTTTACTGGAAAATATACCACTCGTAAAATTCATAAAAACTACATCCGGGACCCGAGTGGTTTATTTTCGATAATCTCACACGTGAGTTTATCGATGACGTAATTTTGATAATTTCGTTCTATTATTTTATTTATGTCATTTTGTCTACACCTATTTGCAATAAGGTTGTCATAGAAAAAAGCAAAAAGCCAAATAGGAATTAATTAGCATTTAATTATCAGTGCTTGCAACATTCCCAACACACACGCTTATAGCTGAATATTAATCACGTAATATGAGAGAAATCATCTGCACCAGTTTCTTGGTGTCATTCTAATGCAATTCGAGGCTGATTCATCTAGCGGATTTCAAACGTGCTCTAATTACAAACGTACATCGGATAACTACTAAAGAAAAAATGGCTCCATTTTTTTTTCAATAAATATAGCCTAGGGTAAATTCCAGGAACGCGACGCGTCTTTTCGTTTAATGCTAAATAGAAAAGCCAGTCTGCATATGGTTTGTAGTGCACAACACCATCAGATCACAATTTTCAAGCAACAAATCAGGGGCGTAGGCAGGACTTTCCATCGCGGAGAGGGTGAGCCGTTCCTCCGCCAGTTCCTCTCCCGCGCCACAAACCAAGCTTCGTTTGTCAGGACCCTTTTGTTACACACATCAGTGTTTCATGTGCGGAATCTTACAGCGCGGAATTACAGAATTATTTCTTGTTATTGTGAATGACTTCTTAAATAATTGTTATATTATTAAAATACGCAAATGTAAATCACATGGCTAATTAATTCCTATTTGGCTTTTTGCTTTTTGCTTTTTTCTATGACAACGTTATTGAAATTAGGTGTATATAATAAAAAGAACATTACACGGCGGCTTAAAGATATGAATTTTATTTTCTGGTGGCAACAACAACATTTTACTCACTCGCTGCGCTCGTTCGTAAAATATTGTTTTGCCATTCGAAAATAAAATTCATATCTTCGCGCCACCGTGTAATATCCTCTAGATATCACATTCTCTAGCCGTTACTGCATGAAGTGCGATACAGCGTGTAGACCCAAAGATGATCCACTTTGAGTTTTTTTATCACCTGGTGCGCGGGAGCCAGGCAGCTGAAAAAATATATTTTGGGCATTCATCGAGAAAAGATAATCATCCCAGCCCCCTTCCACAGCAAGGCTTTTGTACTTCTTTACAAATTTGAGACGAGCTGAGCGTTGCTTGGCAGACTAAGCAAAGCGGTTTTTTTTGGCTATCTTAGGGGCCTCTAATTTTAAACATTTTAAACAACTTTTCATGACCCTTTCTGGACTAACTATGTGACAGCTTCCTCGTGGAGTCTCCTATTTTGCATCTAGCCTTCTCCAAAACTATTTCACCTGCCTTAGTCACAACTTTTGGTCTTCCCCCTCGTTTCTTGCTGTTAAAACCTTCATTTCTCCATGATCATTTTACCGCCCAATTCCAGGTTTTTAGCAGTTTCTATACTAGCAGATAAGCCACTAAATCGAAGTATATGTTGTGGCTCAATTTTATCCTTGGTTCAAATTTTCTTTTCTTTTGTTTCAAACTCATTATCATGTTATTATCATACATTACCATACGCAAAAACAAAAGAAAAGAAAGTTTGAACCAAGGATAAAATTGAACCACAACATATACATGCTTATGTTCTCAAGTAGCTGAACGTTTTTGCGTTAAGGGGGTTTATCTTTTTTGATATTCGCAGAAAACAAGGAAGGAGTTCGAGCAATTCAGGCAATAAAATACAAAAAAAGAGGTTGTAAAATATACTCGCGCACGCGCACCTTTGGCGCGGAAGTACACAAATTGAATATTCGAGTCAAAAGATGG